GGAGCATTCACCGCTTCTGGAGGCAGGTTGTTCCACTGGTTAATTGTTCTAACTGTCAGGAAGTTTCTCCTTAGTTCTAGGTTGCTTCTCTCCTTGATCAGTTTCCATCCGTTGCTTCTTGTCCTGCCTTCAGGCGCTTTGGAGAATAGCTTGACTCCCTCTTCTTTGGGGCAGCCCCTGAGATATTGGAACACTGCTACCATGTCCCCCCTTGTCCTTCTCTTCGTTAAACGAGACATACCCAATTCCAGCAGCCGTTCCTTATATATTTTACCCTCCAGTCCCCTAATCATCTTTGTTGCTCTTCTCTGTACTCTTTCTAGAGTCTCAACATCTTTTTTACATCGTGGTGACCAAAACTGGATGCAGTATTCCAAGTGTGGCCTTACCAAGGTCTTGTAAAGTGGTATTAATACTTCACGTGATCTAAAGTCATAGGAAAACCTCCCTGATTCTAGCCCAGCTCTGAAGGAGTGACACATGGTTATCAACAAGGGTGGGGAGATTTGGAGGTATCTCAAGACAAAGAGAACACTAGAAGAGCCGCTCTCTGCAGTTTGTGGAAAGTTTTGTGCAGGCTCTGCCAGGTTCCCTGCCATGTTGTTGACGGCAGCAGCGGAAAAACAAGGACGGAGTGTAATGCAATATTTGCGTGTTCAGAGGCTGTGCGAGGTTATGGATTTCACCACACGGGGCTGATCAGCCCCAGCGGCGTGTGAGAAAAGCTAGGTGTTTTGGCCTTCACCTTCAGCCAAGGTGATCAAGAGAAGGAGTTGCACAAATGAAAGGCTTGTTATCTCCAAGGCGGATCGTGTCTTCTGTTTCAGTATTTCCATGTTGCTTACCACAGTTCCGTGTGTTTGCCTTGTGTTCCCCTCCAGGTACACCTCAAAGGGACCCGCAGTCTACGCCATTTTCTTGATGTGGCCAAAAGACAACGTCTTGACTCTTTCATCACCTGTTGTTTCTGCAAGTACTCAAGTAAGGAGCTTGAAAAATAAAAGTCCGCTTTGGAAATAACCTGCAGTAGGACACTGTGATGTTTGGGAAATGTTATTTGCTTTGTAAACTAGGTCCGTTTCTTTTGAACTACAGCAAAGAAGCCTCTCACAACAATAAATTACGCACAGCCGAAAGCCAAATCTGCAGGATATCTAAAACAAGATTAATGCTAATCTTATTAATACTACGCCAAAAAAAAAAACCAGCCCTTCCCCAGCAAGTTCTGATAAATGCAAATAATTTTAAAAAGCAGAAATAAAACCATTTTAACAAATTAATACCCACATGTGCACTTCAAAAATAATTTGGAAAAAATACTTTACAAAATGAATGGCAACGCTGTCTGCAACTCTTTCAAGCCTTGCACTGAAGATGTTACCTAGTTGGGTAATGAAATGTCTGCAATGAAACAAGTAAGCTTAGAGAGCACTAAACACCACAGAGTTCAGCCCTGAGCTTGTTGTTGTTAGTTGCAAAGTCGTGCCCGACCCATCGCGACCCCATGGACAACGTTCCTCCAGGCTTTCCTGTCCTCTACCATCTTCTGGAGTCCCTTTAAGCTCACGCCTGCTGCTTCAGTGACTCCATCCAGCCACCTCATTCTCTGTCGTCCCCTTCTTCTCTTGCCCTCCATCTTTCCCGGCATTAGTCTTTTCTCCAGGGAGTCCTTCCTTCTCATTAGGTGGCCAAAGTACTTGAGTTTCAACTTCAGGATCTGGCCTTCTAAAGAGCAGTCAGGGTGGATCTCCTCTAGGACTGACTGGTTGGATCGCCTTGCAGTCCAGGGGACTCGCAGGAGTCTTCTCCAGCACCAGAGTTCAAAGGCCTGAGCTACAAATATTATATTGCGCCTCTTTAAATCAGTTGCAACTTTTTCCAGGATTTTATGGCTGCTTTCCACAGCTGCTGTTTCACCCTGGGAAAAGATGCAGCTGCATTAAAGCACTGCCCTTGTTGCAATTGGGCCATCCCATTTTCTGAAGCACTTTGGGGTATTCAATCCAAAGCAGTGTGTGACTCTTCACCAGAAGGAAGATGATGTGATTTTACTGAATGCACGGGAAGTTTATTTTTCCATTTAGCCTATCTTGGCATGATCAGAATTCAGATGCTTGGCAACTGACTCATACTTATGACGGTTGCAGCGTTCTGAAGTCGTGATCACCCTTTGCGACCTTCTGACAAGCAAAGTCAATGCGAAAACCAGATTTATTTAACAACCATGACACTAACTTATCTACTGCAGTGATTCATTTAACAACTGTAGTAAGAGAGGTCGTAAAATGGGGCAAAATTCACTTAACAAATGTTTCACTTAGCGACAGAAATGTTGGGCTCAATTGTGGTCATAGGTTGAGGACTACCTATGACCACAATTGAGGTTGAGGAAGAATATACAGAAGAAAGCAGTCTTGAAACTCTCCAAATCTGTCAAATTTTAGACTTATGTTCTAAGATTTTAAAATAAGTGGGTTATTGTTACTGTGAGAACTTGAAAATCCTATTTCCCAATAGTCGGTAAGTGATTAGAGGAAACTCACTAGCGCAACTGTAGCTGGAAGGATGCCAGACCGTTCCTGTAATAGGCAGGAAATGAAATGACCTAATAAGCAGCTTGCAGAATTCACATTGTTAAATTCTTTTGTCTGGTGGTTCTTCTGTGGTGTAGCTGCGGTATACCTTTTGCTCAACGGGAATTTTTTATAGTCTAGTGCTAACATACCATCAAGGGATACAATTAGATTATGTTCTGCTCTTGGGAAAGGAAGACATGCTGTTTTATGGCTGTTGGCATTTAAAAGAAGTCGTAAGGCAGCTCCTTATTGTTAAAAATTAGACATGATCAGCTTCGTTTCTTATTGGGTATCTTTCTCTCTAAGACAACTTTGTAAAAAGGAACTGGACTTTATCGATCTTGGCGTAAGTAATGATGCCGCGAGAATCCTGTCAAGACGTTTTGCACCTGTAGCTCTCTTTTTCCTGGAAAAATCATCCAAGCACGTTTCTCAAATTGTTGTGCAGTACTTCGCTAGCTTGTCTAGTGTTGAACAGAGTTGGACCACGTGATTTTTTTTTTGATGTAGCCAATGCTCTTAAAGCACTAGCTTGTGTGTGAAGGGGATTCAGTTTCAAACCTTATATAGGTAATCCTCATATAGTGACCATGGTGATGAAAAAATTCACTTTATGACCAATCCTTCCATTTACAACCTTTACAGGTGTATAAAGCAAAGGAAAACCGAAGTGAGATGCTAAGCACGGTCATGGTTTCACTTCGAAACCAATTCACTTAATGACTGGATTGCCAGTTGTCACTAAACGAGGACTACCTGTACAGACATAGTTTTGGGCTGGATATACTTGAAACCTTGAGCCCCCCATGCTCTATCAGTGATTCTTACCTATGATAACTAATCTAAAATCTTAAAATATGCCTCAGCAAACACTATAGCAGGTAGAAGCCTTTAGCAAGTTTTGCTAAATTTGATTTTGACAAAAGGTAAGCAGGGTGAGACCTGCTTAGGCCCTGGATCGGAGGCCACCAGGCAACTATAGGACTGTAGACTAAACAAGTATTTTAAAAAGGATACTGGAAAAAGAAGCCACCCCTTATATTTTGCTTCTTTGCTGTTTCCCCTGCCCTTTGGAACAGTTCCCCCCCTCCAAAGGTGAGGTGTCTCCCCCCCCTCTCCTGGCCTTTCGGAAAAGTCTGAAGGCCTGGCTCTGCCAACTGACTTGAGGTCCACAAAGAAACACACAGGCATGGGGCTGGTTGATGCTTTGAAGGCCCTTCCCCACTTCTTAAACTTTTAATTTAAAATTCTAATCTTATTTTAATTGCCTCTTAATGTAACATGTATGGGTTGTATGTTTTTATGTCTTATTTGTATACCCCCCAGAGTTGTGAGGGAGATGGGTGGTTTCTAAATGGGATGGATGGATGGATGGAGAGAGAGAAAGTATGGCAATGTTACCTTAGCCAGTTCATATTTGCACACTATCCAGAGTACACTACAGGGGGAGGACTAACTCCACATGCAGAAAGGGTCAGTAGTGTTCTGCAGTGTCATCTGGGGCTTCTCCCTCCACTGATGTTGCCACATGCTCGGGCATCGCTTTGGGGACGGTCCAGCACTGGCTGGGTTCACACTACTGTATAAAATGCCATTATTTTCCTACCGAAGTGGTACCTATTTATCTACTCACATTTGCATGCTTTTGAACTGCTAGGTGGGCAGAAGTTAAAACAAGTAATAGGAGCTCACACTACTACGTGGTACGAAGACTCAAACTGCCAGAACAAAGACAATCTCCAGTGTCTTTAAGCCTATGAGCAACCATGCCTCAGTAGATAGATACTGTGGGTGGATGGATGGTAGGGGAAGAGAGAGAGAGATAAAAATACTGCTACCATAAAACTTTACATGTGCATAGAGACTCTAGGACAGTGATGGCGAACCTTTTAGAGACCGAGTGCCCAAACCGCAACCCAAAACCACTTATTTATCGCAAAGTGCCAGGGCTGCCTCAGCATTGTGGTGCCCTCGGGGGGGGGGACAGGAAGGCGCCTCTGAGTGCCGCCTCTGGCACGCAAACGGGTGCAAAAATGGGCCACTGTGCTGCAAGGCGCAAAAACGGCTGCTGCCGCGCTGCAGGATACAGATACAAGGCGTTGCACCAAGCAAGAACGGGGCAGGGCTAGTGAGTATCACGCAGGCCCTAGCCCCGCTCCATTTGCGGCGCGTGCGTGCTCGTGGCCCCATGTGCGCATGCACGCATGTAAAATGCTTCCTCCTCCCTTTTCTTCCAGTCCACCAATCGACAATGGTTGGTGACCTCTGCTCTACCACCTCTACTCGAGCTTGCTAGTCGGCCGCTTCGTTTCCTTTGTGCTGGGTGGGGCTCCTGCTCCGGGCAGCGGTGGCGGCCTGATGGACCTGCTGCTGGTGCCGGCAGTGCGCGTGCCAACAGAGAGGGCTCCGAGTGCCGCCTCTGGTACGCGTGCCATAGGTTCGCCACCACTGTTCTAGGAGTTGAGCCCAACTGAAGGAAGTCCTTTACCTTTTGTTTTTTATTCCTGGCAGATCACTATGTTGGGATTCTCCAAGCCTTTGAAGTGGCAGTCATCACAACAAGAATTGCAGGTCTTCTTGCCCTCAGAAAATCGTTGGCTTCTCCCATTTGAGCACGGCTGGGCTGTGAAACTACTTGGAGTATTGTGATGGGAAATTTAGAAACAAATCGCAGAATGATTGTCTGTCCTTTTTACCTCATGCTTAAACCTGGTTGATCAAGGGCCTGAGCAAATCTGGAAGAAGTTGCAGCTAAAGAATGCTTTAGCATTTCCAGGCTGGCCATCCTTGCGCTTACCTTTTTCAAAGGGATGGTTGTAAATTAGATATGCAACTTGAGTTAACCTCGATATAATAGACAAATCCAAAATTGTGCTGTAATACACTAAAACGTTGCTTTGATGGAAATTAAAATGTCTCAGGGAAATTATATTTTCTGGCACAAAACTGGCTGCGGAAGAGGCCTCAGTTGCCATTTTTTTTCTAGGAGCTGGCTTTGAAATACAAATCTACTTCGCTCAGTTAGTCCTGGATGAAAAAATTATATGAGGTTGCTTCAGAAGGTGACTTCAGAAGCCTCCACAGGAGTTCTGGTTGAGGCGGAACAGAAAACCTTAAAGGTACACTTAAAAATAAGCAGGGGATGAGGGAACACAGAATGATCTGGGATTGCTAGTAACAAACCACTAATAATAGATCCCATTATGGGGCAATAGAGAACGATATGCCAGGTGTACTGAAATGATGAAATGACTTGAGGAGAAGAAAAATAACATCATTCTTAGAAAGCAGAGTATTATGACACACAGTTTTCAGGATTTCAATATTGGGCAAGGCAAAGGGCTCTCGTGGAATAGAAGCTAGTGCTATGTTTATTTTCATGAAAGTTACATTTTTTTAAAAAAAAATAATCCAATACCGGTTCCACCTCTGGATGTAACAGATCTAGTCCTTTCTTACTTTCTAGGCTTTTGTTGGTCCTTCTTGCATCCAGGCAAGATTTGCTAGCTCAAAAGATCCAATTGAAACAATTGCATATTTACTAGGCTTTCAGCTAGAGGTTTCATCTGCTCTCTATTTTTACAAGTCTGATCATGATAAAATCAACTTCCCTCATGGGCTCCTCATTCAGTTTTCCTGCGCTACTCCCTTCCCTTCTGAATTTCTTTTAATAGACAAAAAAAGATAGGAGAGGAAATACACTTCCATTCCATCCCTCAAGGATGGTTCTGGTTTTCCAAATACAAGCCAGTCATATCCTCGTTCAGGAAATAAAGAGTTTTTAGTCACAAGATTGAGCAGTGGAATCTAGACTGATGTTTCCCGTTTAGACACTGTAAGGGGAGAGCCTCTAGTCGAGGCAAAAATTCTGATAGCACCTTTTCCAAATAAACTGATTTTTTCCCCCTGCAAATTAATATAACCCAGATGTAAGGATCAAGAAGCTGGCCTAATGCTCTAGCAAACAGGTCTTCTTTGACAGTTTTTATAGTTCCTGTTTTGTTTTTTTTGAGGCAAGGACCACAGCTACCAAGCTGAGGTTGAGTTCATAGCAGACAGTTTTGCCTGAAATAATGCCCTTTAAGAGAGGTGTGCAGCAGTGTGATGCACGTATGAAATATTGTCACCTCTCCACAGTCTCCAGATTAGGAGAAGGGAACAGAGTAATGAATTAACCAATACAAAAAGCTTTTTAAGTATTGTGTGGTCAGAACATCCCCTTCCAATGATATGTCATACCAATGAAGACGGGGAATGAGAAACTGGGAGACCTAGACTAGAACCAAATTGCCAAAAAAAATAGCCTTTTGCATGCATAAATCAATGTTGGTAATTAAGATGGGGGAGGGGAAATACAGCAACATGTAGACTGTACAGGTAATCCTTGACTTACAATAGTTTGCTTAGTGACCACTCAAAGTTACAATGGCACTGAAAAAAGTGACTTACGACTGTTTTTCACAGTTACGACCTTTCCAGCATCCCCATGACCGTGGGATCAAAATTCAGATGTTTGGCAGCTGACTCATATTTATGACGGTTGCCGTGTCCCAAGATCATTGTATGATCATTTTTGCAACCTTCTGACAAGCAAAGTCAATGGGGAAGCCAGATTCAGGTAACAACTGGGTTTCTAATTCATCAACTGCAGTGATTCACTTAATAACTGAGACAAGAAAAGAAATTCACTTAATAAATGTCTCACCTAAGAGCAGAAACGCTGGGCTCAGTTGTGGTTGTAAGTCAAGGACTGCCTATATAAATTTTCAAGAGATGATTCTGATAACAGATTTCTGCAATGTATCAATCATGGTGCCTTTTTATTTTTTCCTATCAGCTTTTTAAAAAAAAATGTTTTTAATGAATAAATCTTGAAATACAAATAAATGTTTGCATTGGTCTCACTTTATGGCACAGCAATCTCTAGAACAAATCTGGATAGAAATAAATACTTTTGGCAAGATTATTAGAACGCTTTTGGGGATCATCTTAATGCTGTTCTGTGAGAGCACACTTTTTTTTTTTTTGTAAAGCTACCCCTGAAAATGCTTTTCAACTGAAAGAAGAGTTCTGCATGAGTCTGCATTAAATGATGTGCAATAGAATTAACTTTATTTAGTTGAAAAGCATGTTCCACCCCAAATATTTTACCACCCCCCCCCAATATTTTATCTCTTAAGAGAGGACTGTTGTAACTAGCAGAGAAAATGGGGAGAAATAAGTTCTTACATTTTAATCCTCTTTTGAAGAATCAAAATCAAAGATAATCTTTCTCAAGTAATGTTGTACCCTACGTTTATAACTGTAATAACTTTTTAATTTAGGATAATGTAATTACAGAAATTCTACATAGACTTGCTTCTGGACAGAGTTTTTAAAGCGGGGGTGGGAGGTGGAGGACTTGAACTCACAGCATAGAAGCAAATTCTTTACGGTCACAGGAAACTGGCAATCTCGTCTTGTGCATACCTTAATATTTCCAAAATATTTGCTCAAGTGAAGGTAGGGCAAAAAAGGTGCAACACAGTTCAGGTTCTGCTTCTGCAACCTCTTAGGTAACTTAAGTATTCACAGATAGGGGAATATAATTGGTCAATAATCCACTTATTTTAGCCTCAGTTCTAATTAGGGACATGATAGCAGTGTTCCAATATCTCAGGGGCTGCCCCAAAGAAGAGGCAGTCAAGCTATTCTCCAAAGCACTGAAGGCAAGACAAGAAGCAACGGATGGAAACTAATCAAGGAGAGAAGCAACCTAGAACTAAGGAGAAACTTCCTGGCAGTTAGAACAATTAACCAGTGGAACAACCTGCCTCCAGAAGCGGTGAATGCTCCAACCCTGGAAGTTTTTAAGAAGAGACCAGACAGCTATTTGTCTGAAATGGTGTAGGGTTTCCTGCCTGAGCAGGGGGTTGGACTAGATGACCTCCAAGGTCCCTTCCAACTTTATTATTATTATAAATTATTTAATTTACTCTTCAGCAATGACTGAGCACGATACAGGGACTTCTCAACGCCCAGCCCTTGATTCAGCGACCATTCAGAGTTACGGTACTGCAAAAAGAGTCTTGCAAACTATCTCGGCATCCCCACGGTCATGTGAACCACATTCAGGCATGGATTTAAAATGATAGTTGTGTCCCAGGGTCACGTGATCCCCATTCGTGACCTTCCCAGCCAGCCTCTGACAAGCAAAGTTAACGGGGGAAGTTGGGTTTGCTTAAAAACCTCATGATTCACTTAACAACAGTATAGACAGACCTCGACTTACAACCGTTCGTTTAGGGTCCATTTGAAGTTACAACAGCACTAAATGTCCGAAATGGTATAGGGTTTCCTGCCTGAGCAGGGGGTTGGACTAGATGACCTCCAAGGTCCCTTTCAACTTTAGTAGTAGTAGTAGTAGTAGTAGTAGTAGTAGTAACGGTAACAACTGTTGCAGCATCCCCATGGTCACATGATCAGAATTCAGACGCTTGGCAACTGACTCATATTTATGACGGTTGCTGTGTCTTGGGGGTTAGGTGTTCTGACAAGCAAAGTCAGCGGGGAAGCCAGATTTCACTTAACAACCGTGTTACTAAATTAACAACTGCAGTGATTCCCTTAACAACTGCGGCAAGAAAGGTCGTAAAACGGGGCGAAACTCTCTTAACTGTCTCTCTTAGCAACAGAAATTCTGGGCTCAATTGTGGCCGTTAAGTCGAGGACTACCAGTAATTTATTTTAACTGTGACAAAAATATTGTAAAATTGGACGCATCTCACTTAACCGCCTTGCTTAACAACAGGAGTTCTGGTCCCAACTGCATTAACAGAGGGATAGAATCAAGATCAGGAGAAGTGTTACTGCCACTTTACAATGCCTTGGTAAGGCCACACTTGGAATACTGCATCCAGTTTTGGTCACCACGATGTAAAAAAGATGTTGAGACTCTAGAAAGAGTACAGAGGAGAGCAACAAAGATGATTAGGGGACTGGAGGCTAAAACATATAAGGAACGGTTGCTGGAATTGGGTATGTCTAGTTTAACGAAGAGAAGGACGAGGGGGGACATGATAGCCGTGTTCCAGTATCTCAGGGGCTGCCCCAAAGAAGAGGGAGTCAAGCTATTCTCCAAAGCACCTGAGGGCAGGACAAGAAGCAATGGATGGAAACTAATCAAGAAGAGAAGCAACCTAGAACTAAGGAGAAACTTCCTGACAGTTAGAACAATTAACCAGTGGAACAACCTGCCTCCAGAAGCTGTGAATGCTCCAACACTGGAAGTTGTTAAGAAGAGACTAGACAGCCATTTGTCCGAAATGGTGTAGGGTTTCCTGCCTGAGCAGGGGGTTGGGCTACATGACCTCCAAGGTCCCTTCCAACTACTACTACTACTACTACTACTACTACTACTTCTTCTTCTTCTTCTTCTTCTTCTTCTTCTTCTTCTTCTTCTTCTTCTTCTTCTTCTTCTTCTTCTTATTATTATTATTATTATTATTATTATTATTATTATTATTATTATTATTATTATTATTATTATTAAGTCGAGGACTAATTGTAAATTTTCAAAGCAACTACGGCTGTACTAGCTCTTTCCCCAGAGCCAAAGCAACCCCTGCCCAGCTCCTTTCATTACTTTGGATCGGTTTTGAAGTGATTTCTTAATGCCTTTGGCGGGAGGACCAGGGTCCACTTGCTCCAAATAAAGGTGACTGCCAACGAACGTCATTCAATGCAGATTTATGCAAGAACAGTCTGCAAAACAGACCGTCAGGTTGGAATCCATCCCAGCTGAAAGATCAAGAAACAAAATTGATGTCATTGCTCTCCACCGGCCGCATGGGATCTGTGGAACCCGAGACTACTGTAATTCAGGCAGTTTAGAGCATTGGCAAATTGGGCTTGGCATGGATGGCCCCTTGCATCACAGCGAAGAGCCACGGTGTTGACCCGTGCTTTGTGTACCAGTGAAGGATGTGGCCTTGGCAGCCGAGCACAATTACTGTTGAACCCTGGGAGAGAGAATAGGGATATGCTTCTATTCATTTCAACAGATGGAGGGGAATATTGCTTGCAAAAGCCAAAACAAACAGTGGCTCTGTTTCTGAGCAATCTTCCCTTGTTGATTTAATGGTATAAATGTGCTTAGTATGTTTCTCCAGGTCTACACTGCAAGCTAAACCTCTTGTGTGAGCAGGAAGCACCAGAGTGCCAAATGGGGCCTTTACGAAGAGGAAGCTTGATAGGGCAGGTATGTGTTTTATTTCTCCACTTATAAAAATGAGAGTTAGAATTATCTAAATTGCTGCAACAGGTATAAGATGCAACAAAGAAAGATGGTGTGTTTCTTAGATTCTTCAGTTACTATCTATCCTCTGCATCCTTGCATAAGGATAATCCCCACGGGATTCAGTGAGAGATTTCTAACAACTGTGCATAGAATCGGGTTCTAAGAGGTTTGGTTTAACCAGAAATGTTCCGAGCAAAAGAGAATCTACAATTGCAAAGTTTATGAATGTGTTAATTAAATTCAACTAGATCAAAAGGTACAACAAAAGTGAAAGTCCATCTTGGATTCAAGCAACCCTTTAAAATCAATGATATAACTTTTTAATCCAATATCAATCTTTATTCCTGATAATTACATGGATACTTCATGTAGTTTTCTTAGCAACATTTCAGGAGCTTTCATTTGAGAACGTATGACTGTCCCCAAATCACCCAGCTGTTTTTTGTTCCTAAGGGAAGCCTAAAACTCTTTGTCTTTCCTAGTTGGATGCATTTAACCATAATACCAAACCACAGTTCTATATAATTTCCCAATTTAGGCACTTTCCATATATGTGAATTTTCAATTCCTAGAGTTCCTTAGCAAGTACCAGTCAGGTTTAATCCAGCACAGCCATTTAAGGATCAGCAAACATTGGCTGGGCCGTGGATGCAATTAAACCTCATTAAACTACCAGTAGTTACTCAAAACTTAAGTCCCCAAGGGTAATGATTACAATATGCTTAAGACTGAAGCTTCATTTAAGGAGAATGGAAACGGGTAGGATGAACAGGTATTCCATGGCAAAGGTTAATTTTAAGAGGACAGAGAGGTAGCATAATATATTTAAAAGGGACGATCACCTATAGGCCGAGTGGGCTGGAAGAACAGGTAATACACCCGTTTTGCATCTAGGAAATCCCAGGTTTGATGCTAAAGAAACTCCTCCCCCAAATCCTGGAGAGCTATTGACTGTGTAAATACTGGAATTGGCAGTTTCCTCTGTTGGAAGACAAACTGGCAATTCCATTCATAGTGGCAGAAAAATCCACACTCCTATGGTGCTGTTGTAAATGAGCAGCAACCCAGTAGAGGAGCTGTCAGGTTGGGAGGATGGAAGGTTTTCAGCAGAGCAAGAAAGCAGTAAACCACACAAACCCTCAGAGGTAGGAAGGTTGGGTTAAGGCAGGGGTAGGCAACCTTGGCTCTTTTATGACTGGTGGACTTCAACTCCCAGAATTCCCGAGCCAGCCATGCTGAGGGGAAAGGGAGAGTTTCCAAGCTGAGCCATGCTGGCTTAGGGATTCTGGGAGTTGAAGTCCACGAGTCATAAAGTGGCCTAGGCCTAGGCCAGAGGTAGGCAACCTCAGCTCTTTTATGACTGGTGGACTTCAACTCCCAGAATTCCCGAGCCAGCCATGCTGAGGGGAAAGGGAGTTTCCAAGCTGAGCCAGTCTGGCTCAGGGATTCTGGGAGTTGAAGTCCACAAATCATAAAAGAGCCAAGGTTGCCTACCCCTGTTCTAGGTCAGGGGTCTTCAAACTTGGCAACTTTTAAGACTTGTGGACTTCAACTCCCAGAATTCCTGAGCCAGCAGTGCTGAGGGAAAAGGGAGAGGTTTCCAAGCTGAGCCATGCTGGCTCAGGGATTCTGGGAGTTGAAGTCCACGAGTCATAAAAGAGCCAAGGTTGCCTACCCCTGGGTTAAGATCTTCAGGAGTGTTGTTTATCCACAGCTTAACCTGGTTCCTGAATTAACCCGTTTCCCGGGTCTGCCCCATAAACTAAGGCGGGGAACAACAAATTAAGCCACAAAAACAAGCTGAGCGGGTCGTGGGATTGCCACTGCTAGATTTGCAACTGGCCTGGTTAAGGCGGCTGCGTCCACACAACCAACGCTTGTTGTTCTTGCAGAATCCTTGAGCTCTTCCAGTTGCTTTCTAGAGCTCCGGGAGAGTTTACCTTCCTCTCTCTCTCGTCTCCCCCACAAAAAAAAGCCCAACCCCATAAAACACCGTATGCTTAAAAAGCAAACCTGCCCCATCTCATCTCAGGCTGCCTGAGATGCACTTCGCACACTCTCAGAGGAACGTCGCCTTTTGCACACGCTGCACTTGAGCCTCGCCAGCAGCGCGTCCTCTGCACGCGTTTTCCTTCTCCTCTTTGCAACAGGCAGATGTTAGGTAGGTGAAGCTCGCCCGCCTCCGCTGCCCAGGCGGCTGGACTTTCCCCGCAGGCGTGGGTTCCATATGCAATAACCTTGTTGGCCGGGGACGATGGGATTGCAGCAGCTCCACGCCCGGAGGAAACCCAGGGAGACCGCCCAGTCAGGGGTAAGCAACCTTGGCTCTTTTATGACTCGTGGACTTCAACTCCCAGAATTCCTGAGCCAGCATGGGGGAAACTATAGCCCCTTCATGACTGGTGGACTTCAACTCCCAGAATTCCTGAGCTTGGAAACCTCCCCCTTTCCCCTCAGCGTGGCTGGCTCAGGAATTCTGGGAGTTGAAGTCCACGAGTCAGAAAAGAGCCCAGGCGGCCTACCCCTGGCCCAGCTGATCCGCGGCCACGTGGTCCAGGGCGGTCACGTGACCAGGGCGACGTTCCATCACGTGACCCGCCCCAATCCCGGCAGCCAGACGAGGCGCCGAGATGGTGGCGCTGAAGCGGGGGCTGCCGCGGCTGGTGGCGTCGCTGCGGCCGGTGAGCGAGCTAGGCCAGCGGGCGGGTGGCCAGGCGGACCTCCCTGGCCTCTTGGAGGGTGGCCTTGGGCGCTGCTGTTGCTGGGAGGGGGTTCCATGCAGACCCGCGCCCTTGGGACTTCAGTTTCTAGCAACTCCGGCGTAGAGCAACCTTGGCCACTTTAAGACGTGTGGACTTCAACTCCCAGAATTCCTCAGCCAGCAAAGCTGGCTGAGGAATTCTGGGAGTTGAAGTCCTCACGTCTTAAAGTGGCCAAGGTCCTGAGGTCCCCTGGCGTAGAGGGTGAATGGCAAAGGATTCTGGGAATTGCAGTCCAAAAAATACGGAGGGTTTTCTCCTCGTCTGGGTTCTTAGCCAGGGGGCTTGCAAACCCGTGGCTGCCTTGGCTTTACCCACTGACTTGGATTAAGGTTAGGGTTGGCTGTTGGCTTGTTTGTTGTGGCTTATTTGTGTTGGGAGAACTCCCATCTGCTTGCTCCGTTTGCCATGCAAAGCATTGGAAAAAAACTCCAAGCATAGTCTGAGCCGGGGGGTGGGTGGGTTGCGTTATTTGCACTCTGGGAACAGAACAAGTGGGTCGTGACATGGGTTCCGTGATAGGTTTGTGATAAAGTTAGCCTGCTCAGTAATAACATGGGTAGAATATATGCTCCTCTCCTTAGTACATGGGCGTGCGCAAGGTATATCTGGAGCAGGGAGCTGCAGTTGTATCCTCTGAGTGTTGGACTTTGGCTGAGAGTATTGGGGGGAGGTGAATTCCACATGCACAATTGTGATATGTGGCTGCAACGTGTGCAGGATCAGAATAATCTCTTTTAACTTTTCCAAGGACTTATGATGCACTCCAACTTGTTTAGTGGCCGGCCTTTTGGGTGTCATTCTTATCCTAAGCTAAGCATGACCCACTTTTTACTCTGGGGCTGTCTAATAATAATAATAATAGTAATAGTAGTAGTAGTAGTAGTAGTAGTAGTAGTAGTAGTAGTAGTAGTAGTAGTAGTAGTAGTAGTAATAATAATAATAATAATAATAATAATAATAATAATAATAATAATAATAATAATAATAGAAATATCATTTGCCTGTAAGCAAGAACTGGTGGGATCATAAAATAGAGAAAGTCATAGAAAATGATAAATTAAACTGCTCTGGGACTTCAGAATTCAAACAGGCAAGCACCTGCAACATAACACCCCGGACTTAACAATTGTCCATAAGAAAGACAAAAAAGTCTGGATAGTGGGCGTGGCAGTGCCTGGAGACAGCAGAATAGATGAGAAAGTACTGGAGAAGATAACAAAATACAAAGACCTACAAATAGAAATAGAAAGACTGTGGCAAAGGCAAGCAAAGGTAGTACCAATAGTAATAGCCGCCTTGGGTGCAATCCCAAAACAACTGGAGCACCACTTGAACACCATTGGCATTGACAAATTCGCCATTAGTCAATTGCAAAAGGCGGCCTTACTAGGAACCGCCTCCATCCTGCAACAATATCTGTAATACCATCAGACATCCACATCTGCCTATCCCAAGTCCTTGGTAAAGACTCAATAGGTAGAAAAAATGCCAAATCCAGTCTGAACATCTGGCTGACTGTGCGATGATCGATGATGATGATGATGATGATGATGATGATGATGATGATGATGATGATGATGATGATGATGATGATGAAACGGCAAGCAAGGAAATAGGCCAGACAATGTAGCATATATAGCACGGGTGTCAAACTCGCTGCATCACATGACGTGTTGCAGCGTGTCATGACTTTTTTTGCATTGCCGGAGCTGGGGTGGGCACTGCCTCAGCATGATGCAACCGGACTGCAGGCCAGCAGTTTGACACCCCTGGTATATAGGTAGTCCTCAATTGAGCCCAGAATTTCTGTTGCTAAGCAAGACAGTTGAGTTTTGCCCCATTTTATGACCTTTCTTGCCACAGATATTAAGTGAATCATTACAGTTGTTAATAACCCGGTTGTTAAGTGAATCTGGCTTCCCCACTAACTTTGCTTGTCAGAAGGTTGCAAAAGGTGACCATATGATCCCAGGACATTGCAACTGTCATAAACACGGTGTGGGTCAGTTGCCAAGTGTCTGAATTTTCATTGTGTGACCATGGAGAGGCTGCAACAATCGTAGGTGTGACAAACGGTCGTGTCACTTTTTTCAGTGCCGTTTTAATTTTGAACAATCACTAAACAAATTGCTGTAAGTTGAGGACTACCTGTATATGCAGGGCTAGGACTTTCTGCTAGGACTTTTTATGTGGGTGGAGATGATTTAAATAATCATGCTTCAGTAGCACTCAACCCTTTGAGCCTCATCCTCTGAATAACTTAGTACTGCTGCTTCAAGGACGTTCCCAGATTGCCTCTTCATGCAGCTGCCTATTTACATTCATGAACAAACAAACTGGGAAAAGCCTTGGAACAGCCATGTTGAGCTTTCTGGCAGATATGGCTGCTTCAGTGTTTGTGGAGGTGTGCATTGCTTGTGGCCATATGCTTCGTGAAGTTTTTTGCATGCTTTGTACAGCCTTACGTTTCATGTATTTTGCACCTGAAAATGTGCAAAAATATAGTTTTTAAGTAGTTGGGGAAGGGTTCAGAGGCCACTAAATAGTGGCTTGGGAACCGCAGGTAGCTATGGAGTGTCAGATTATCCACTCCTATCTTGAAGGAATGAAGAAAGCATCCTATAATATATTTATGATCTGTCTAAAACTGCACATCAGAAGAGGATAGGTAGCCAGGAAGGACAGCTGATAAAAGTTGATATATGGGTAAATCACTTAACTACCATCCATTTTACAATGAATTTTTAACTTGGAAGTTTCCTGCAGCATAGAGTTCCCTGGAACACAGTGGTTTTCAAAAACAGATGTTTGAAAACAGCAGCCCTACTCTGCATTGAAGAAGTGTATATAGTATCTGCATGCAGGAATGTCTTACGACAGTGGTGAATTACACCCCAAGGACATGAAGCAGTATAAAAGGAGAAACCTGGTCAAATAACAGTAGTAAAAAAAGGGCAGTTGTTTCTTGCTGAGCCATCCTAAGAGAGATTGAAAGCTACCTGATATGGGATCCTCTAGCTTAGCATTGCCTGAAATCTGAGGCAGTGATGGGCCATGATTTCTAAAAGGTCTTTCCCAGCCCTGTCTGGATGTGCCAAGACTGGCACACAGCCTTTGTGCTTCAGAATGGATTATCACTGTGCCAAGGCACTTATTTTCCAAAGGTGAGACTTGAGGCTGACCAGTGCTACTCAATGAAGCATCTGTAATTGGATGCCAGCTCTGTACAGATGTTATGCAAACAAAATAAGTTGGAATGGAAGCAATATTCCAAAAGCTTAGTCACGAAACAGCCTTTGCTGCTTTGGACTTTGTTCGGAGTGCAAGGTAATTTTTTTTTATACTACTTCAGGAATAAAAGTAAATTTTAAAAATTGTTTGAAATTACAAGTGCCAGCCTTGTGTTACTGGTAATAAGGTCTTCCTGGGCCTTGTGCCTACTAAAGACAAACTGCAATCCCATGACTGTCAAGGAGTTATAATCTGACATATCTGGAGTAAAATAACTTTTCTACTTGCATTTGATACGCTCAGGAGGACGCTATAGATGGTCTACCGGATTGGCATTCTTTCTTTTCTTTCCCTTCTTTTGCAGATCAGTTTAACCACAGCTGGAACATTTCCCAAGCATGTGAAAATTGTTGAGGTTGGTCCACGGGATGGTTTGCAGAATGAAAAGGCAAGTGACCTCTGCTAAACTATGTTTGGCTTGTGGCTGAAATCTGAAATAAGTAGCTTTGGTGGTTTTGTGCTTGTGAAATGAATGTGTTGACATCAATGCTGTTTTGATTTTTCTCCTAGGTAGTATATTGACATAGCTTAAAAAATCAACCCTCGATCCATGTTCCCAGAATTGCTGTCAGTTTAATTACGTGAAATATGCTGGTATGCAGCAGTAAATCAGTGTTTACCCAAAATGCCCATTTGGGAGAGTGGATTTGGACTTATGACCGTGTGATTTGCTTAATGACCACTTAACAACGGTCAAAAATTAGGCCCGGCCACATCGTGTCCTGACTTACAACCGCAATGACTTAGGACTGAAATTCCGGTCCCAATTGTGGCTAGTTGTAAGCAATGAGGTTGTTAAATGAGTTAACAGATGACTATGCCTGATTTTACAACCGCCTTTTGCTGTGATGGTTAAGCGAATCTGGCTTTGTCCGTTGACTTTGTTTTTGGAAGCCAACTGGGAAGTAAATGGTGATCACATGACCTGGGAGACATCAGCCTTTGTAAATACATGCTGGTTGCCAAACGCCCAAATTGCAAACAAGGGGATGCTGCAGTGGTTATAAATACAAAGTCCAGTCATAAGTCACTAATTTCAGCACTGTTCTGACTTTGCCCAGTTGCTAAATGCGTGGTCATAAATTGAGGACTACTTGTCTTCAGAATCCCAAGTAGGGAGTTTGTTTGAGACTGACCCAAATGTTTTCCCATTGCAAAGTCCGGCTGGCTTTGGTAAACTTGGGAAAAGGAAATGTTTACAAATCTGACTGATGTCACAAAGTCAACAGAATTAACTCCGGCAAATGTGTTTCTGTTTATTATAATAGGGATGTTGTTCCTGTGTGCCTGTTCGTTTGCGGGCTCCTTTTTAAAAATCCATGGTTAGGGAAGAATATATAAAGGAGCAAAAATGGGAAATGTTATAGAATGTAGTGATTCCACCCCCAACTAAATGTCAAGAAGGAAATATAATTATGGAATTGCTGTTAAAGGGGAATTCTCTCTTGCTCTCTTTTTCCAGAATATTGTTCCCACTCAGGTGAAAATTGACTTAATCAACATGCTCTCAGAGACGGGTCTTTCCGTTATAGAAGCCACCAGTTTTGTCTCTCCAAAATGGGTACCACAGGTCAGTATGGATAAAGAGGTAAAGGAGTTGGCTAAACAAGCTACAGTTACTTTGCTCCTTGGCAAAACCCAGATGGGCTTATTCAACATACCACAATTAAAGCAAATTGTGGCTTAGTTTTTGGTATAAATCAGGGGTCTTCAAACCTGGCCCTTTTGTGACTTGTGGACTTCAACTCCCAGAATTCCTCAGCCAGGCATTGCTATAAATGAATATCTCAGCTTGGTTTCTATAGTAATGAGAGGAACACTTTATGTTTTTCCAGCTAATTGCAGTAAATGCTAAACGGAAGGGCTGGAGGTGTCCATCCTTAGCAACTTTGAGACCTGTGGGTTTCAACTCGTGCTGGCTGGGGAGTTCTGGGAGTTGAAGTCCACAAGTCTCAAAGTTGCCAAGGTTGGAGACTCCTGTTCTAGAGTTACAAAGATCGCAATTTAGTACAGCGTGTGGCACAGTTGTTTCTGTGGAATTAAAACCTGCCGTTTGTTCTTCATTTTTGTACCAAGATGGCTGACCACACAGAAGTTATGCAAGGCATCCGGAAGGTCCCTGGGGTCAGCTATCCTGTTCTGACACCCAACCTCAAGGGATTTGAAGCAGCGGTAAGAGAAGCCTGCAGTCCAAAATCTCTTAGGTCAGTGGTTCTCAACCTGTGGGTCGGGACCCCATTTGGGGTCGATCGACCATTTCATGGGGGTCGCCAAGCAAGGTTGTCCGCCATTTTTTCCCCTTTTCCGGCGGGTGCCTTACCTCCCTTGGGCTGGGCCAGCTGGTGGTCGGCCTGCTCCGTCTCTGCCGCTTGCCAGCTACGCCTCGGCCGGCGCAGGGGGCGGAACCATGCATGCGCGGCGCTCCCGGACAGGGAAAGTCCTTGACTTATGACCGGTTGGGTAGTCCTCGACTTACGACCGGTTTAGTCCTCGACTTACGACCGGTTTAGTCCTCGACTTACGACTGGTTGGGGTCGCGGCATTAAAAAGGTTGAGAACCACTGTCTTAGGTCCTTGCAGTAGTGGGGAAGGTATTAATGAACGGAGCTGTAAGATCTGTTGCACTGTTCTCTCACAGTGCTCTTTGACAGGTACAGGAAATCCTCAAGTTATGACCATAATGGTTGTAAGTTGTGGCCTTTTTTTCTTGTGGTGGTTAAGTGAATCCGTGGTTAGCTATGGGCCAATTTTAGCGAAAATTGGATGTAAAGTGCCAGTTTTCAACAAAACTGTCTTAAATTGAGATCACGAGACCATAGGGCTATGCACACAACTGTAAATACAGCCTGGTTGCCAAGCACGCAAAATGCGGTTATGTGACCATGGGGGACAACCACCCACCACCCACCCCTGACTGGCAGAACTTTGAATCCAGGTCATAAGTACCCCCAGGTAGGCCTGTCAGGATTTAAAACAGTCACTAAGCAAGTGGTCATAAGTCGAGGAATACCTATATATAGTTATCATCTCAGTCTTAACTGAAAAAGCAGATCCCATATCTTAAAGTCAGGCCGATCGCCAGCCTAGGTTGAACTGAGCAGCTAAGGCTGGCTCTCCCATTCATTGCTTTGGACATCTGAGGAACTGCCTTTCTGATTTCTCATCCAGAGCATCTGCTTCCCTGTGTCTTGAGCAAGTGGTGGTGGGGCTTGTGTCCCAGCAAGTTGCCCTCTAGGCGTTGCTGTGACTTTTAATGGATCTTCAGGATGAGATCCTTTAGGAACGGTTTGTGGCATTGGCTTGCAAAGGCTCAAAATTTCATTCTGAGAAGTTCTGCAAAACCAATGCAAAGAGAAACAACTGAAGGTGGAATGAGTGAGTGGTGAACCTGGCCCAGAAACAGGAGACTGTGAGTTCTAGTTCCACTGTAGGCATGAAAGCCAGCTGGGTGACCTTGGCCAGTCAATCGCAGCCTAACTCGCTCATAGGGTTGTTTCTGTGGGAAAAAACAGGAGGAAGGAGTATTAGAGGTATGTTTCCCATCTTGTGGTGGGATCTCCAGCTAGTGGGGGGGGGTGAGGAGTGAACTGAGCTTAGAGCTGGGGGGGGGCTTACACCCCCCCAGAATCTCTGGAGTCTTATCTGACTCTCCCAACGAGAATCCGGTGAAATTCTTGTAAACAGGCACTGCAACAATAAAGAAGTGACTTTGATCAGTTCACGGGGTTGTTCTACTTCCTCGTGCCTGATACTTATAAAGGAATAATGGATGGATAAAAACCTAATGAAGTAAATAATAGAAAAACTCGTCATGAGAGAAGGCGCTCTGGGAACAAGTGCTAGGCTTTTCTGAACAGAGAAAAGTGTAGTATCTAAGGGTCAACGCTGCTAACATCGGATGTTCGTGCTTTGACAATATGTGAAGATGCAGCCATTTTCTCTTTAACCTGTGTGTTACTTTTAGAGTTAGAATCAGATGGTGCTGGAGGGGAGGGGGAAGAATGTGCATGGGGATTAGTTAGACATAACAATATCTCAGTAGAGTATTCTTCAAGGTTGTTTGTAATAAGAGGAGATAAGAAATGGCGGGTTATGGAACAGAGGGAAAGTTTGTGCTTCAAACTGATTGGAGAATATGATTAATGACTGTTAAATAGAGGGGTGAATTATGCTTGGATACTATGTGCTTAGGAGAGGAGAATTCAGATTTTGGCTTCGCCTATGTACGTGCCGAAGCTATGTTGCTCAATTAAAGATTCTTTAAGGTAAACAATGCCTCAAAGTTCTTGGAAGAGTTTCATTTTTTGGAACCATGACACTAAGCTCTTTCTGACATGGTTGGTAGGTGGCAGCTGGAGCCAAGGAGGTGTCAATCTTCGGAGCAGCTTCTGAAGCCTTCACAAAAAAGAACATCAACTGTTCCATAGACGAGAGTCTGCAAAGATTCGGCGATGTTCTGCGGGCATCAAAAGGAGCCAGTATTCCCGTCCGAGGGTAAATATTAGCACTGCGTGCTGATTTGGGTGATGAACAAGCATCCTTATGTGTAGCCCTTGAGAAGGAGGAAGGCAGGCTGAGACATGGAAGAAAGAAGGATCTAAGCAGGAGACTATCCAGAAAACACAAAAATGTTCCTCTTCGCTCGGTCTTCTCCAATCTGGCACTCTTCAAGTGTGTTCACCTTGCAACTCCCAGAATTTCAAGTTATCTCAGAAGTTCTGTTTAGCAGCTAGTCCTCATGATAATAAAATGTCTTCTCCTCCTCTGTAGATGTTTTTTTTTTAAAAAAAAAAACCTATTCCCTTTGTAATGCTAATGGTGGGAAGAGGTTGCATTGCATCTGTCCCCCATCAAAAGGTATTATGTTATGGATAAATCTCTCAGGAATGAAGCGAGAGGAGGCAGGGCCTGCTGATTTTCATTAACTGATCTCCATGATTTTCCCTGACGACATTGCATTTTCCCCCCTCCTTTTCCATGCAGCTACGTCTCCTGCGTTCTCGGCTGCCCTTATGAAGGAAAGATTTCTCCCGCTAAAGTGGCAGAGGTGAGTTCATGTTGCTTGCCTGTTCAGAAGAGGGGTTCTTTTTTGTAAACAAAACCCTACCTTTTACAAAAAAAAATAAAGACGAGCCTTTGAGAAGAGAGTCAAATCTCGCCACACCTGTATTGTCCCGCTGACTGAGTAGGGATTTGGCTTCTGTTCTGATTTCATTGCAAGGACAGGAGAGACCACAGGTTAGAGCAGGGGTAGGCAACCTTGGCTCTTTTATGACTCGTGGACTTCAACTCCCAGAATTCCTGAGCCAGCATGAGGGAAACTTTGGCCCCTTCATGACTCGTGGATTCCCAGAATTCTTGAGCCAGCATGAGGGAAACTTTGGCCCCTTCATGACTCGTGGATTCCCAGAATTCCTGAGCCAGCATGAGGGAAACTTTGGCCCCTTCATGACTCGTGGACTTCAACTCCCAGAATTCCTGAGCCAGCATGAGGGAAACTTTGGCCCCTTCATGACTCGTGGACTTCAACTCCCAGAATTCCTGAGCCAGCATGAGGGAAACTTTGGCCCCTTCATGACTCGTGGACTTCAACTCCCAGAATTCCTGAGCCAGCATAGCTCAGCTTGGAAACCTCTCCCTTTCCCCTCAGCATGGCTGGCTCTGGAATTCTGGGAGTTGAAGTCCACAAGTCACAAAAGAGCCAAAGTTGCCTTCCCCTGGCTTAGAGGATCTGTACAGAGAAACTTCCATGTTCTGTTCCAGCATCCTTTCTCTGAAAAGGCTGCTTTTTCACGGGTACCTAGCCAGGCCTTTGCTGAGCTGCTTTAGCTCACAGTAAACAACACGGAATTAGATGTGGGTAAACCATCTGACTTGGAATGAGACTCATAAATATCCAACCCTCTGACCAGCAGCTGTCAGAAAATGAGGGAAAACACGCATTGCAGGTCTTTGCATGGGATAAATTGAGCTCATTTCCCCTCTCCACATACCTGTTGCTCTTCAGGTACGTTAGAGTTTAGCTTGAATGATGCAAATTGAAGTCCTATACAAGCCCAGAGAAAAACAGATAGTCTTGCAAGGAGAGGTTGAAACTCTGAAAGCTGCCTCTTTCCCAAAGGACTAGTGTTATTTATACAGGTAGTCCTCAATTTATGACCATACAGGCACCTGTAATGGAGCCCAGAATTTATGTCGTACGTCATGACAGTTGTAAGTCAAGGCCCTCGTGACTGGACCCAATTTTATGGCTTTTTTTGAGGTTGAGTGAAGCCAAGAAAACACTGCTGCATCTAGCTGTAAAGCTGAGCCAGTTACCAACTGCCCCAAATGTGGTCCTGTGAACGTGGGGGCATATGTTTGTGTGTGAAGTCGGGACTTGGGAATTGGGTTGGATGTAGCTCTTGGGAGGGCTGTCGTAACTTCGGACAGTTGCTAAGCGACTGGTCATTAAGCGAGCACTACCTGTTCTGTATACTTTGGATTTTAAAAGTTGTGTGCTCGTGTTATCCATTGCTTTAATAATGAACTATTTTTTTATATATAAACTAACTGACATGGATTGCTGTAAAATTTGGACCATGGAGGAATCTGACATGGGTTGAGGAAAAGATGAGTTCCCATTTAGAGGAAATTGTGTGAACAAGTAGATGCAGGTTTCTGCATTAACATCTGGATAAAAATGGAAGACTTGATTGGGATGGTGTAGATCAGCGGTCCCCAGCCTTTCCGGCCTGGTTGGGGGGCTCTGTGAGTGGCAGGCATGCACGCACATGCCCTCAGCTCCCTTTGTGCAAGCTGCATTTCTGTGCAAGCGCCTGCCTCGCACACAAGTGGAGTTTTGCACACCTGCACTCACCCGCCTGGCCCAGTTCCAACTTTTGCTACGGATTCCACAAGCAGGATTCCACAGGATGCTGAGAGGCTCAACCTGGGAGCATCTATGGAAATTCTCAATCATTCAGGTTGAGCCAAAGTGTGTGTGTGTGTGTGTGTGTTTTTCCCCCCAAAAGGCAACTGGACTTTCTTGGTGTTTTCTTCGAAAACATTTCACTTCTTATCCAAGAACTAAAGAAGCTTCTTGGATGAGAAGCAAAACATTTTCAAAGAAAACACCAAGAAAGTACAGTTGCTTTTGGGGGGAGGGGAAACACACACACACACACACACACACACACACACACAGGCTTTGGCTCAATCTGAAGTTCTAATATTTACCTCCCATTTGCAGCTCTGGCAAGATAATGTGGGCAAACTGGATTAAGCATGCAAAGCAGAGCATTCCTCAGCTGCAGGGGAAAATTTAACAGAGGAGGCGATGCAACCGGGTCCTTCACCTTTTGCAGGGAAAGAAAATCCTGTAGATAAATCCATCGTGATCAATTATTGTAATTGTTGGTTGAATTTGTATTCAGAAGAAAAGCAATAATAAGGAGCTACAGTTTTTTTAAAAAAAGCTGTTCTTTCTGACAGGTGTCGAAGAAAATGTACGCAATGGGGTGCTACGAGATTTCCCTCGGCGACACCATTGGTGTGGGGACCCCCGGAAACATGAGGGAGATGCTTTCTGCCGTCATGAAAGAGGTGCCCGTCGAAGCTCTCGCGGTTCATTGCCACGACACATACGGACAAGCTCTTGCCAATACACTGGTAGCGCTTCAGGTGAGTTTTCCGCCTCTCTTTGAAGTAACCTTTGGACGTAGTCCTTGACTTAACGACCGACACAAATGATGTTGCCACGGATGGAAAATCAGAAGTCCGGGCGGTTCAGGTTTTATTGCGAGCTTATGCTCTCTGCAAGAATCTGAACAACTAACGATCAGGTATAGTATAGGGGGTACCTTGCTCAATAGTAGTAACTGTGAGAGGGATCTTGGAGTCCTAGTGGACAATCACTTAAATATGAGCCAGCAGTGTGCTGCAGCTGCCAAAAAGGCCAACACAGTTCCAGGCTGCATTAACAGAGGGATAGAATCAAGATCACGTGAAGTGTTAATACCACTTTACAAGGCCTTGGTAAGGCCACACTTGGAATACTGCATCCAGTTTTGGTCACCACGATGTAAAAAAGACGCTGAGACTCTAGAAAGAGTACAGAGAAGAGCAGCAAAGATGATCAGGGGACTGGAGGCTAAAACATATAAGGAACGGTTGCTGGAATTGGGTCTGTCTAGTTTAATGAAGAGAAGGACGAGGGGGGACATGATAGCAGTCTTCCAATATATCAGGGGCTGCCCCAAAGAAGAGGGAGTCAAGCTATTCTCCAAAGCGCCTGAAGGCAGGACAAGAAGCAACGGATGGAAACTCATCAAGGAGAGAAGCAACCTAGAACTAAGGAGAAACTTCCTGACAGTTAGAACAATTAACCAGTGGAACCACCTGCCTCCACAAGTGGTGAATGGTCCAATACTGGAGGTTTTTAAGAAGAGACTGGACAGCCATTTGTCTGAAATGGTATAGGGTTTCCTGCCTGAGCAGGGGGTTGGACTAGATGACCTCCAAGGTCCCTTCCAACTTTTATTTCTATTATTATTATTATTATTATTATTATTATTATTATTATTATTATTATTATTATTATTTGGTGTTCTGTAAGAGCCAATGGAATTCAAGGAGGGCTGGACTTAGATCTCTTGTGGAGACGACGGGACTTGAGACTGATGAGGCGTTTGACCCCCCTCCCCACCTCAGGCTCAGCCTGGTCATCTGCAGACATCGATTCAAAGTTCCAGTGGTCAGGTCCCCTCTGCAGTCATGTGACCGAACTTCAGATGCCCAGCGACAAAGCCCCACTGACGCCCATTTGCAGCCTACCATAGTCACGAGACCGCATTTTATGACCGTGAACAATATCTGAGCATTACAGGACTACAGGGCTATCTGTAATAAAATGCTCATTTACTCTTGCGAGAAAAACTCATTCAGGCTACCTGTAAAGCAGGGTCCACGCTCGACAATTCTTGCAAAAGATGTGTCTCTTTCCCACCTACCTTCTCTAAGTCAAAATCTGAGCATTAGGCAGCTCTGTTAATGAGAATGTTGCTAAAGAAGGCATACATACATAGGAGAATGCAGTATTGCAGGTAAACTTTGCCCACAGCCTTGAGTTCGAGCCTGACCAGCTCAAGGTTGACTCAGCCTTCCATCCTTTTGAGGTCAGTAAAATGAAGACCTGATTGTTGGGGGGGCAAATATGCTGACTCTGTAAACCGCTTAGAGAGGGCTGTAAAGCACTTTGGGGCTGTATACAAGTCTAAGTGCTAAATGCTATATATATATACGGTATATATTTTACAAGAAAGAAGAGAATCCTTATTTGAACCTTCAAAGGCTTGCACAGTTCCTAAGCGGTAATTTCTCACGATTGATTACAATGAGTGC